GAGGGCTGGGATGGTGGAGGTATACTGAGGACATTGGTGATGGAAAATGTGCACTGGTGAAGGAATGGGTGTTCAATCATTGGATGACTGAAACTCAAACATGAAAGCTATGTAACTATCTCATGGTGATTCAATTTTTAAAAAAAAAAAAAAAAACAAGGTTTTCTTCTTGATCTCCTGCAATTCCTGACCTCTTGCAATTCTTGAACACAACTCTCTTCATTTCATTCGAGGGACCCCACTGTTTCCAGTTTCTGCCTCGCTTTTATTTATGATATCTCTTTATTTAAACATTTTTACTGAATCAGTGTGAGATAGACCCTTCCAAATATGTTCATGATTAGATTTCAGTGACACAGTGTTCAACACCCACACCTCCATCAGTGTACATTTCCCAGCACCAGTGTCCCCAGGTACCCTCCCATCACCCCCCTCCATCCACCCTCTTTCTGATTCTTCTTAATCTCAAGAGTCTTCTTGCATCTTTTAAAAATCGAATAGCTAAGTTTTCACTGTTTTGTAAATGGACAATGAATTGGTATTCTATTTTCTGTTTGAACTTTGTTTAAGTTCAATTAACACCATCAAATGCGTATTTCTTCTATAGGTCAAATTTGATCACCATATCTCTTCCAGTTTTTAAATTCTACAGTGACTCTCAATAATTGTGATATATTCAAAATGTCCAAAAGTTTCCAACTCTCCTGTGGCCACACTCATATTCAATGTTACTCTTCAACAATTAGAGTCTAATTCTACATCACTTCAACTTGAGACGACTCTAAGACGTCCTTTACTTTGTCTGAGGGAGTTTGTTATCAATGGTAGAATGTTTGCATGTCAAATGTGTGGACCTGGGTGCAGTCCTTCACACATCAGCATTGGGGAGACAGGAGAGGATTGGAAAACTGGGATGATTTTAAAGCTTCCTGAGCCATCAGAATATAGAGAACAATTCTTATCAGTTCTGTGCTGTGGTTTCAAGAAATTTCTGTGATGTCCACTTTCGAAACCTAAAAGTCACCGTGTGATAAACTCAGGCTAGTCTGCGGAATTATAAAATACATGTGACCAAATTGCCAACTGACATAGTCTTAATCAAACACAAATTTGTCCCCAACTGTTACCTGACTGCTAATGTGGGAATGATTTCAGTCAAATAAAAAGAACCTCCCAGTTGATTGGTTAAAACTGCAAATCCTGAATGCCCAAGACCAGATGACTGGTTAAAGAAACTTTGGTACATCTACACAATGGAGTACTATGTAGCTGTTAGAAAAGATGAAGTCATGAAATTTACATACAAGTGGTACAATATGGAAAGTATCATGCTAAGTGAAATGAGTCAGAAAGAGAGGGATAGACATAGAAAGATTGCATTCATCTGGGGGATATAAAGTAACAAAGTATGAGATTAATACCCAAGAATAGCTGAGATCAGTACCAGGAGGATTACTCCATAACTTAGAGGCCAGCCGGGTATCCTAGAGGAAAGGGCAGTTCAGATAGAGAAGGGAGCACCAAATAAAGGATGTTTGGAGGATCCTCCCAGGAGGGGAGATGCATGTCGAAAGTAGACTATGGACTGAACATGTTTGCCACTCAATGCCTCTTTTGCAGACCACAACACCCAAACGGAGAGAGAGAACACAGGGGATTGCCCTGCCACAGAGACAGGGGGGATGGGGGGATGGGGGTGGGAGGGATATTATCCATGGTGGTGGAAAATGGGCACTGGTGGAGGGATGGGTACCTGATCATTGTATAATTGAAACCAAAGCACAAAAAATTGTAAATCTACAACTTTAAAAAAAATAAAATAAAATAAAGGGAAAAAAAACTGCAAATCACAGAAACAGATGCTTGTTATTTTAACCACTAAGTGTAAACTGCTTTATACATTTAAAAAGAGAGTTGTTTTTAAAAAAAATCATTTATCTCTTCCCTCGGCAGGGGGAGAAAACAAACTTGGGGCTGGAGAAGGAGCTCCAAGTGCTGACTTCATGCTTCCCATGCAGTTACTCATGAGTCCAATCCTCAGCATCTCATGGGGCAACCCCAAGTTCTGAATCAATAGCCATGAGCACCATGGAGTAATATCCCCAAAACAATAAAACAAAATTCCAGACTATTAGTACTGTACACAGCACTCTTCATGCTCTGAGGACCATTTATTCTTTGTATCTACAACTTTATTTCTCACCGTTCACTTAACATTATATGTTCCAGCTATGTACAATTAAGCTGTCCAAATTTTCCTATGCTATCTTACCTCTCTGTTATTTTTATACATATGGCTCAGAAAATCTTTCCTTCAGGAAATCTATCTGCCTCTGTGTTTCTCTCACACACAATTATTTAGTGTTGAAAACAATGATTTGACAATTTTCTACTCTTCACGGAACTTCTTGATATTGCGGGAGTATTTCCCTATGGCTTTTTTTGGATTTTCTGATTGCCCCCCCAGTGCTGAAAAATAAAAGTGGGCAGCCATGATTGTATCTTGAATGACCAAATAAATGAATGAAATATACATCCAAACATGTGCAGGTAAAATTTATAAATACTTAAAACTAATATCCGAAGACATAGGACAGTAGATGGATGGCTCCCTGAGCCCCAACAGGAGTGGCACCTGAGAACAGAGTGAGGAATAAATCCTGAACACTTCCTGGTATGCCCTAATTTTTTTTAATTAAAGCCAAGATTGTGCACATTGCAGATAGCAGGGTATGGATATCTTTGCAACTGACTTTTTGAAGACCTACATAGGCTAGGATAAAAAAGAATAAGCTAAATATTCAATAGGAAATCTTGTCTGAAATATTTTTCCCATTTCCTTTTCTGTTAGGTCATCCAAAACTATGTATCTGCATTTAAAGGGCCTGAACAACACTATTAATGAACAGATATTTCTCCTCATTTTCCCAACAGTCTAATGTAGGTAGTGATGTCCTAGAGGGCATTTCTCTTTACAACACGAATGTGGGCACAGGCAAACACACTTTACTTTCTCCAAGTAGAACTGGTTTCATTATCTCATGGAAGAGTAAGTAAATTCAAATAAAGAACCAAGTTCCTAGTGGATGCCTCATTTTTACATTTCACCTAGAGAAGATTTCTCTTTCACTTTTCTGATTAAATCCATTGTTAATTGCCAGTGTCTAAAGGATGCTATCTCTTTAGGTAAGGGTGATACCCCATCTAGATTCAATTAGCTACTTACTGATAAATGTAATTAAAAACAAAATTTTCAGCAACAGAAGAATCAGCAATGCAGCAAGAAGTAGTTTGGGGCAACAAGTGTTCAGCTTTGAAAACCTAGTTTTCTCTTTGGGAGCTGCAAGAGAAATCAAATTAGGTTCGTTCATCAATAATACAGTTAGGCCAGTCTTTTCTCTTCTCTCTTTTTTGTGATTAATGCAAGCAATATGACACTTACAAGAGAAGGAAGTAATAATATTCACTGTAGAAATTTAGGAAAACATGTAAGAGCATAAGTTCCTACAATTGAGGATTCCTATTTTTAATATTTTGATAATAATATATTTTAATATTAAATATTTCTGTTACTAAATTGTAATATGTTGAACTGCAATGATTTAAATATATGATTTGAATATAATACAAGTATTTTTATTCAAATATGAACAATTTTAATTGAACATTTATTTTACAAAATGATTGGATCACTACATATTATTTAAGAATCTACTTTTTAACACATAGTAGGTATATATATTTTTTGTTGATTTGCAAAACTATGGAATTTCAGTGGGTTGTCTTCGCAATCGTATATTTTGTAAGTCTGATCATACTTCCCACCAAAGCTCTACTGCCATTTCACTACCAGAAAAATCTTTCAATGGCAGTTTTTCAACACTCTTTTTTGTATTGCAAAGTATTTCATTTTACAGGCAAATAATTATTTAGATTTTTCCACAAAATTTTGTCCTTCTTTAAATAATGCCATAGCAGTTAGCTAAGTCTTTAGAGTTAACCTTTATCATGTCATTAAACTAAGGTCACACCTATTTGGTGAATAATTCCCACTTAAGATTTACTCTCTTCTGGCGGCCTCCTTGGAGCTTTTTGGAAAGCCAGGTATGAGCTGGCAGTGACGGGGCAACTGAAACCTCATGGGAAGGGGCGCGTTCCCGGCTCGTCCTTCACGCCCTACTGAGGTCACGAGCAGCTCTCCGGCACGGCAATGGCTCCAGGGCCACAGAAACCAATCTTGTACTTACCTGTCTCTTGGCAGAAATACTTCCAGGCTTAATAAGTAAAATATCAGAAATCTAAAATTGCTATTGCGGCCGCGCAGCATCATATGGTTCTCATAGCTAACTGTAGAAAACAAATTATTTCACAATGCCTTTTCAGCAGTTCTGATTGTTGGATGTAAACTGTAAACAACAATGGTGCATATTTTGTCGAAATAATGAATGTAATCAAAGTAGATAGAGTGTTAAGTATAATTCATCTGCATCACAGGCATTGGGAGGGGTGGGAGGGGGTATATTGGGGTTCTTTGTGGTGAAAAATAAGTACTGGTGAAGGGAAATGTGTTTGATCATTTCATGACCGAGACTTAAACCTGAAAGCTTTGTAGTTTTTCCCACAGTGATTCAATAAATAAATTTTAAAAAATATTATTCTCTCCTTGTGATGGGAGAAAAAGCACAAGGGCATTTGCTAAACCTTACGTCATTCTCTAGACATTGCAGAATGTGGTCCTGAACAGAGAGGATCTGACACACAGCACCCAACAACCTGATGGTCTCAAGACATGTTCAGACACTTGACAAAGTATCACTAGGACTGGCTCTCACGGTCCCTGTGCATTGTTAGGGAGACCCCAAAATAAAAGAATCATGTTCTACATTTCCCAATTGCATCCAATCTAAAAAAAACAGCACCTGATATCACCTATGCTTCGCTGACACTCTTTCTTTCCCATCCTTTATCTCATTATGAACTTTGCAGAAAATGTTTCTTACCTGCAGGAGCCTGTGATAGGGGGCCCAAGGACATGGGTCCATTTTTGAATCTCATTTCACCGCACTTGCTCTCCATCGGCATACTGACAAGAGGCGCTGTGCTCTCTTCACACCAGCCTTCTCATCATCCTGAGAACACTTTGAACAGCTCTGCAGGAGCACCGAGGTGCCCTAATCACACAGGCTAGGAGGAAGCGCAAGAGAATAAAAACCCTCAGCCTGACGTTTGACCCTAAGACAAACAGAGCAAAGGTCATAGGCCTTAAACTAGAAGAAAAAATGTAATAAAAATCGGAACTTGGAAACCAAATAGAAGATATGGGAGGGGAAAGAAAAGAGGAACTTTTCTTTTTAGTAATACCTTTATTTCCCACAGATACATGAAGCATATCTTGAGCACTGGTGGAGATGGGATTCCGTGACCAGTGTGGATGGCCAGTTACCACCCCACTGACCACTGTGGGGAGTGTGGGATGCAGGTCTGTGCCTCGTGGGGACCCTCAGGTCACCCTCCTGGAGGTTGCAAGTTGCACCAGGTCCCTTCCTGGGCTCCCGAAGGCCACAGTCATGTGCCCAGCCTGACCCGAGGGGATGCAAGAACCGGACACCAATGAGTCACTCCAGTGGCCCTGGAGTGTGACTGCTGCGAGATCCCTGCAGACAGGCAGGGCTTGGGATGCATGGTGCAACACCTGCCAGGTGCTGCTGTCCAGGGATTCCTTCCCTATAATGCTGGAAAACTTTTAGGGGTAGGTCGGGGCGTTGGTCTGTGCCCGCTGAGGGACCTGGGAGTTACGGGCCTACAAAAATATGGGGGAGGGGCCGAGGACAAGGGCAAACAGAAGAATCATGAGCCTAGCGAGCACAGGTCCGAGTCTTTGTTTTCCTCTGGAGCAGCCCCCAGAGCAGCGTGCTCTGGTGCAGGCTGGGCCCTGGGGTCACTCCTGCCACTCGTCCTGGCTGGTACCCGGCACCTGACTCCACATCTGGCTGCGCCATGGCTCCAGCCACTCCAGCGTCTGTGGCTGTGGCTGCATCTGCTGGGCCAGCTGCTGGACCGCTTGGCAAAAGTTGCTCAAGCGCTTCTGCTTGTGCTGGGCTGGGGGCTCCAGGGGGGGGTGTTGGGTGGCCCCCTGAGATCATACAGTATGAGCTGCTGAACTTGGGGTTTGTTCATGAGGTTGGACATAGTGAGAAAAGAAAGAAAAGAGGAACATAAGCACTAAGAAATCTTTCATGTGAAATCACCCACAGGCACTTCCATTTCAGAATCAAAAACTCGCTTGCCCAATTACAGTATTACAAAATTATTTAGTATTATAATTACTAAATTATAAAATTTTATTACCCTGTTTTTGTGATATTCAGGGCAGCCCAACCTTTCCACACTCGCAGTCGAACTCGGCCAGTAGTTGTGCCACTTGGCACACGCTTGGTGTTATTAGAAGGACGTCATCAGCGAAGCGGAGGTGGTGTATTTGCCAACCGTCTATCTTCACTCCTATTTCTTCCCATTTCAGTTGTTGCATGACGTTCTCGAGGGTGGCACTGAAGAGTTTCAGTGAAATGGAATCACCCTGCTGAACCCCACTCTTTACGTTGATGATCACTTCCTTGTAGAATGGTGAGATCCTGGTGGTGAATCCATAATATGGCTCATGGAGGATCCTGATGTACTGAGTTTGAATGCCCTGTTTGGCTAGGGCTTCGATGACTGCTTCAGTCTCAACAGAATCAAATCACTTAATCACTTAACTTCCCGTTAGTCGTCGATTTGCTCGAGCGGGCGCCAGTAACGTCTCCATTTGTCCCTGTCGCGTGCTAGTGTAGCCCAATGGCATCTGTTCGCTCTGGGAACATGAAGAGCCTCAAACCGATCGTTCATGATCTTGATGAAGAAGTCTGACCATCTGGTAGGTGGGCGGCCACGCGGTCTTTTGACATCCTGTGGAATCCAGTCAGCAACAGCTCTAGTCCAGCGGTCGTCTTTGAATCTCATTACGTGACCAGCCCATCTGATTTTTGACACCTTGGCAAACGAGACAGCATCCCTGATTCTTGATCGTCGACGGATGTCAGAACTTCAGATTCTTTCTCTCATTTGAGTGAAACGTGATATTCCAAGCATAGCTCTTTCTATTCTTCTTTGGGAGACCTGAATAGCGTTCTCATCCTCTTTGCATAGGGCCCAGGTCTCTGAGGCATATGTTAATACAGGAAGAACAGTGGAATCAAAGAGATGTGCCTGGAGCCGGAGGTTCTTCGTCCTCTTAGCTATTTCTTCGACGTTCTTGAAGGCGTTCCAAGCCGCTCTCTTCCTCCTGCACAGCTCTGGTGCCAGGTCATTTGTCATGTTGACTTCTCGACCTAGGTACACATAGCTGTTGCATTCAGAGATGGTCGTTCCGTTGAGAGCGAATGGGGCATCAGGAACGAGGCTGTTTCTCATAAACATTGTCTTCGTAAGATTCAGCTGTAGTCCTGCCTTTCCACACTCACGGTCAAAGTCGGCCAGCATTTGTGTCACTTGGTTGATGTTTGGTGTTATTAAAACAATGTCATCAGCAAAGCGGAGGTGGTGTAGTTGCCGACCATCTATCTTCACTCCCATTCCTTCCCATTCCAGTCGTCGCATGATGTTCTCGAGGGTGGCACTGAAGAGTTTCGGTGAAATGGTATCACCCTGCCGAACCCCTCTCTTGACATCAACAATCACTTCTTTGTAGAATGGTGAGATCCTGGTAGTGAATCCACAATACAGCTCACGGAGGATCCAACACTGCTGCCTGTCTCTCTCTGAGGACTTCTTGTATTGCTTCTCTGCACAGCTTTGCGAGCTCAGACCTTAGCTTGTGATTGCCTGAAGCTCGTGCCAAACCATGTTGGGAAATGAGCTCGAGAGTTTCCGAAGACAGGCGTTTGTTTGTGGCTTTTCCACTCTCTGCACTCCTTGCACAATCATAGAGGTGCTTAACCAGTCGATCATATTCCTCATCGGTCTTGTCAACAATAGCATCTTCCCATGTTGCCACAATAGTGCCAAAGAGCTCCCAGTTGGTGGTCATTCTTGGAGTTCTCTTCTTAAACTTTGCAGCCCTTTCTCCCCGCTCTGTGAAGTAGAATTTTGCAAGAAGGAGATGGCGGTTCTATCCCATCATACAATGACAGAACACTCATGCTTCCACCAGAGCCCATTCTCCACTACCCATGCTCCCAGTATTCCTCCCATCCCCATTCCTTCCCACCCCTGCCTCTGTGGCAGGAACTTCCCTCTTACTCTCTCTATCTCCCTCTGACTCTGTCTCTGTCTGTCTCTGTCTTTCTCTCTCTCTTTATCTCTCTCTCCTTTTGGGTATTATGGCTTGCAATGCGGGTACTAAGAGGCCAACATGTTTGGTCTATAGTCTACTTTCAGCACACATCTACATCCTGAGCGATCCTTCCAACCATCATTTACTTAGTGTTCCCTTCTCTATCACAGCTGCCTTTTCTCCCAGCATGTGAGGCCGTCTTCAAAGCTGTGGTTCGATCCTACTGGCAAGTATCTCTAGTGTCCTTAGGTGTTAGTCTCCTATTGGGTTACTTTATATTCCACGAATGAGTGCCGTCATGAGATCAGAGGTTCTTGACACTGCTCCTTGGGGCCCCTTTCCCTTTGGAGTTGTTTATTAACTTTGTCATAAATCTTCTCTTACTTTGTAATTCTAAAGCTAACCCTAACCCTAGCCATAGACATGTCCACCATCTCCCATAGTTGGCATTCTCTATCAGAAATTAGAGGAAGAGGCAACTCTAAATTTCTCTTCTCTCACCTCCAGCCTCCCCCACCCCCACTCCACAACAGAAAATTATGCAGATGTAGATGTTACTTTTGTTTAGAAAAATGTAATGCCATCAGAATGGAGAAGAAGGACTGGAAAGATAGTCCATGGGCTAAGGGCATGCTTTGCAAGCAGGATGCCCAGGTTTTATATCTGGAACCACTGGGTGCCCCAGCACAGACAACCGCAACAACCAAACACAGCTGGAAGTAGTCACTGATAAAAGAAAAATCTCAGAATGGAGAAGGAGATAAATTAAAAGCTACATGGGAGTGTTTTACTCCTGGACCAGCAGGAAACATCAACAATGTTTCATCAACAATGTAAATCCTCCTTGAAGAATCTTTCTAGAGAACACCCTAGATTTAACTCTTCCCAAATGTTTATTGTTCAACTCCATCACTTATTTTTTCTCCCTTGCATCGAACACACCCACACACACAAACACACATACACACACAAGCACCTCCTTTAATTTTATATTATATTGAAAATTCAATAGGGTGTTGAAAATTCAACAATGGTTCTATAATAATATCTCTAATTCCAATCCAACACAAAGATTCTTTTCACGTTTTCTGCCTTTTCTTGTTTCTCAGTCCTTTATGTGACTAGAAGAAACTTACATCTGGTGCCAGAGCAGTAGTACAGTAGATAGGACACTTGCCTTGCACACAGCTGACCAGGGTTCCATCCCCTGCGTCACTTATGCTCCCCCAAAACTGCCAGGACTAATTCCTTAGTGCAGAGCCAGATGTTACCAATAGTGATTATAGTCCAATTGTGACTATAAACAAAAGCAAAAACAATAAATACTTTTACAAGTATTTATACTTGTAAAATACTTTCTTTCATGTGGGATAGAAAGAAATACTAAGGGAAAAACAAAGGACCAAAATCATCAGAATGAAGATTTTGTCCATAAAACTATTCACTGGGTAAAAGGGAGGCTGCAAGCAGCCCAAGGAATACTGATGAAGAGAAGAAGGTATTCTGTGATGGGAGGCGTGTTTAAATAATGTATGCCTCAAAATTATATATAGTGTTGTAAATCTTAGTACTTCAATAAATCTGATATTTTATTTTAAAAATTAGTCTAATTGCATGTAAGGCAGGTAACGTTAACCACTCTTAGGTCTGTCTGGCCCTGCTAAGCAGAACTATTTTTTTGTTTATTTTATTTTATTTCAATTGTTTGGGCTGGAGTGAAAGCACAGCGGTAGGGCATTTGCCTTGCACGCAGCCAACATGGCCGATCCGA